ATTGTCAGAGGGGATGATTGTCGCGAACGCTTAAAGTTCTGGTTTCTCGAGAGCTTATTTTCTACCCGCAGGTCTAATAGATCGCCCTGTTTTTTTGTTAGAGACCACCCAGCCGTTAAATTAATATATCGCTTGATAGCCGTCGCCTTTCCCGTCCATCACTGTTCTCCCTTTTCTTCCTCGTGGCAGCCTCGTACTTTTAAGGCTCTGTGTTGCCTTGACGAGGGAGAAAAACGACGTCGGGCTTTCTCCTTGGCTTTTCGCAAATGCATTGCAACCTTCTTTCTTATAAGAAACAATGAACTATTCTCGTGAAAATAGCGATTTTGTGATAAGGCTTTTTTAATAAAAATATTCATGACGGGAAATATCGATATTGGCATAACGAAGCTATATCAGTTTCGTCAAATTCAATTTTAGCGTTTTAATAAACTTCAATCTTAATGCATAAGGACATAATATAATTATAGATACTTTTGGCCCTTTAGATTAAATACAAAATTTAATAGCACATAAGAACATATGGAAATTGAACAAAAATCAAGCTATCGCGCATCTCTCGTGAATGCATCGCTTTATTTTACTTCATATTCTTCCCAACTTGTTTAATTTCTTATTATCGGATATTTTTTCACTACCTTAATTTAACACTACTTTAATAAGCTCGATCCTGGAAGTTTCGATCGAAACTAAGATACGCATTTATCTTACACTCTTGCGTTCGTGAAAAGTGTATTGTACCAGAACATTACAATTAGCGACACGGTCGATCGACGATTTAATTGCGACGCGAGGGGCGGCGGTTCTCCATTGTCTGATCAAGATACGCCTCGCTCTCAGGGATTGCACTGCCGGCAATTTAAGCGCCTTTTCAAAGTACCGGCGTGGGGTGTCGTGTCATCGGTGCACGTCGGGATACTCTGACGAGCCGAGCACCTGCTAATTCTTCGTCGGCGCCTGGCAGCAATTAACTCTCTTCAGCGTCCGATATAAACCGGTCAATACAAGTTCATTACGTTGACCCGTCCCAATACACGATATGCCCGATTACATCGACGTGACACTGTTGGTACTTCAAAGAAAAAGATACGGCTGAATGATTCCGAAATGTCTGATAATTTTATCGAAATATTCCATTCGTAAAATTATGGATGTTATTAAATCTTGTCAAATAAGATCGATCGTATTGTTTGTAACAACGAGAAAAAGGTATGACATTATCTTAGACGTGCGATTATAGGATCTAGACATGATCGGGCTATTTCGAATCTACGTTTATTTAAGATGAGTTGTTCGATGTTTATGTAGAAGAGCTCATTTAACAAAAATTCTCCGCCGATTTTTCGAATTATAGAGATAATGCATCGGGTGCTGCCTTATTCGTAAATTGTCAAACGTTAAAACCGATTTGAAAGCTTTCGATGCAGATTTGCATTTCCGTATTGTTTATCGACCCACTGTGTGTATATACACGGCAATACCGAATCACCGTCAGTGACCGTCGTGCTAATTGCGTTAGCATGTATTTGCCAACTAGTTAAACGGCTGCTAATATTTGCTCCCGGGACCTTGAAGTGCATTTGAATGTACGCAACGCGACGAGGTAATCACCGGTTCTAGTAATGACCTGCAAATGAATCTACTAGGACTACTAGTATCAGGCTTATACTAGTATCAGGCGGCCTCAGCAAGGGAGATGAAAAATTAATTCGTGTCAAGCCAACATTCTTGTTCATAATTTATTAACAATACAGTCCAGAAATTTATGCAAATTGATTCTGTCGCCTGCGCGCGAATGTCTTACGTAACACAAGAAACCGAGTTTCCTGTTCACGTAACGCTTCTCGGTTGGAAATAAGAATCTTTGCGCGTATTTTCTGCATACCCGTATTATGTGTGTGCGGTTTCTTCTCTGCCCACAAATTCAAACTCTATGTAATTGCACAGAAAAGAATTTTTAAAGCTAATGAAATTTAACAATGCGAAAGAGTTTAAGGTTTTATTAAAGAAAATCTGTTCTGCATCTTCTGAAATTTTTCCATATATTACCATCCCTTAGTTAGTTTTTCCAGGTTATTTTACATGAGAATGCCCGAAAAGAATACCCGAAAATTTATGGCCGCTAGTGAGCGCGCTCTTCCCCTAAATAGAGCTATGTAGAGAGAGCGTAACTCTGACTGGCGAGATGCGATAAGAATTGTTACACACCCAGAAAAGCATCTCCAGGCGAGCTTAGTTCGTGCGGGAATATAAAAGACTCCATTTAAAAATTGAGACGCCACCGAGTTCCGAGCAATGTACCAAATGTAATATGCATCACTAACTATAAGTATTAGCTCCCGCATGCTCAGGAATTCCGAATTTTAGGAAATGGATTATTTTTCCGAACAACAAAGAATAGAAAGAACAATTAATTTATATAATCTATATTACATAACAACGCAATAATGCTTGAGAATTTTTCATATAAAAAACTAAATTATATCTCTTCATCAATCTTCCATCAATATTTAGAAGTGATATTGAAAGCTGTTTTAATATTGAACAATATTCAGAAATTTTTGGAAAAAGATTCCCAAAATTGTAAGTAGAATCTTTGTATTCTGAAAATTTTTTTACAGTTAGACAAAATCATTAAACCTCTAAGCTAGAAATACAAAATTTTTCGCGGACGAATGCTTTTACGTAACCGTTTATCATTGCATGACCAAGCGTAGTCAGATAGCGACTAGTTTTATTCATGATTTTTATGCGTCAACAGTTGGTAAATAGCGAAATTATGTAGTATTTGTTATTTGAACCTGGCCCGCTCGTCGTACAGGAACAAAAGCTCAGAATATACTCGTGTTTATTGCTTTACTTTTTTCTGAACGCTTAATATATCGCGTATAACTTTCTACCGATTAATTTCGGTCGCAAATCAAGATTAAATCTAGGTTAATGAGAAAATAATTTCGTATTTACTCCCTAGCACAATTAACAATAGTTAATGACTGCACTTTCGAGGAGTCAACAGCGGTTATTGTACTTTACGTGAGGTCGGAGGGCACGCCAGCGAGAACGTCGTTAAACGAACCGGATTCTCCTTTCAGCGAGACCCTTCCAATCCTGACAAATCGCCCGCGACACCTTCCAAAGTACACACACACCTTCCCGGCAGCTTTAAACCACAAAAGATCCCGCTCCGGCTTTTCGCCCCGTGCTCTGCGTTTCCTTTTGCGATGCGCGCCGCGTTGGAGATTTTATCTCATCGTTCATCTCGGCGTCTCATGCTATCCTTCCTTATTATCCGCAGACTGCGACGTCTTAATAGCGCGAATTTAGCGAGAATTTCGAGTGCTGTCCTCGTAAGAGCGGCCATCGATGGTGAACGCCCTCGACGCGCGATAAAATGCTTTATCTTCTCACTATATCATAAACGTCTCGCGTTATCATCATTAGCGTCTTCATCCGTCGTTCCGCGTCATTATCCACCGTCCGATACTTTACACTACGGCATACCTGCTGTAGGAAGCGAGATCCACCGCCGACTCCTACTCCTCTCTCTCTCTCTCTCTATGCTCTCACTTAAAATCTTATCTTGCGACCGGAATTAGAGCCTAAGTACTCTTTTCCGTCGTTTTTTATACAGAAGATAATTTAGTTTGTTTTTTAATTGTCGATGAATCATCGCTACATTAAGCTAAAAATAATAATTCGTCTCTCTTACTACGTCAAAAAATTATTCCTTATTAGCACGCTTTTAAAAAGCTTAAATTAACATTCTAGCGGTATGTAAATTTTTCTAAATTAATTATGAATATAAATGTCCGAATGTACGTTCTTATTCTAATTACATATGTATTTATATTTATACATTTTTACACGTATTCTTTTTTAAAAGGTAACGTGCGTTTATATGTTTATAATGTAGATTCTCAGGAATTGGAATCGACCTACATAATAATTGACGTTTGTTAACGATTGTTCTTCGACTGTTGTGAATTATTTGCGAAATTAAGTAGCAATAAGTTCTTCCCAAATAAGAACGAAACCCATTGAACTTCGAAGTGAATTACGCTAGAGATATATGCTTCATTCAGAAGCCATGAGCCTGCATATCGAACCTTTTCACTAGCACGCGCAAGTTCTACCCAATTGAGTCGGTGAATATCTCCGCGTAATGGAAGGAAAAGACCTTCTCTGTGAAATGTCGAAGTTCAACTACCTTCCCGCATCTACCCTATACACTTGTATAGGATAGATACTCAGATACGCAACTCCTCGTCCTAGCGCCTAGCCCTTACTTACATGCGTCGCACGATTCGATACACATTGGCATAATGCAATTTCTGGCACGTATGGGTATCCCGCCTCGCTCGCTGTCAATATCTCGGTTTTGTTTGCGATTAGAAACGACGTGCGAAACTTCCTCACGTTTAACGATAGACGTATATCGGGTTCTCGGGAATCTTCCATCTGCTTAATTTTATCATGCGTACCTAATTTTGAATATTGAGTTGCGAAGCTAATTACAAAGTTGTAAATTAGTCTATACTGTAATTAGACAGTTGCAGGAAATTAAGCCAACTTTAGATAATATAATTCGCATCACATACATGTATTGAAATATATATGTATTAAAATACACATTATTTGAAATTATAAATAGAATTCTATCCTAAATTTTGAGAAATTATAGATAACAGCTTTAATCAGTAATCCTAAATTAAATTCTCAGAATTTAGGGGTAATGTAACCTAAAATAGTAACTTTAATTAAATTTCCTGCCTTCTGTCTTTCACCGGATGACACCAGTTGTTTCACTGTGAGGAATTCATGCGGTTACTAGAATACTGATACCCCGGTGCAAGATGCTCGAAGCGTTCAAAACCGTATATCGTCGGATGCCGACCGCTTTTAATTAAATTTTTATTCACCGCCGTAATACGCTCGCATATTCAATAACTAACTCCGCTACAAGGAGAGAGTTGTTTTACGCGGAACAATTTATGTTGCAGCTGGAGCCGCTCCTGAGGAAACTAACCAAAGGTCCAGTTCTGCACACAATCGCCACTCTCTCACGAAGGGTAAGTTTGGAACACAATTGTATTCAGGGTATTTTCGTTTGCTGTAATAAAACACTGTAGTCTACCGAGCAGAAAGGATCATTACATTGTATTTCAAAATAGACAATTAAATGATTTGATAGTCTTAGCAACACTAAGAACAGCTCAAATTTAATAAATAATTTTTTTAATTTTCTCGCAAATATATTATTTTAATGAAATACCTTTGTTATATATATATATAAATGATATAAGACGGTGTGCTCGGTAGCTAACGCTGTAGAATTTCATTTACCAAGCTTTTTTCTCCTTTTCTCATCTATCTTGATGTATCCTAGCTGGTTTTCGTCGAAATTCTAAAAAGCACCAGCTCGGAAACTTTTCATTACTTCGTAGCGAGTGTGACGCTCGATGTGATACCTCTCACGGTGGCTTTTTGACATTTACACGGCGGATTTGGATGCACTTTTCAATATCGCACCCCGTGTCTACCGACATTTCCGACATATATGCTTCAGGGCACAGCTTGATCATTTATTTGTGATACAAATAGTGACACAGACATACGTACATACAAGTACACAGGTCAGTTTTTATTGGAGAAGCTTGAAAAATATTTGACACTTCCAGCACGTTATATTTTCAAAATGCAAAGAATCACGACACAAAATTGCTCAAAGTGTTTAAAAAGGAAATAAGAAACGTCTGCTTAGTTAGCTTTTTTCTATCGATTCTATCAGTATAAACGCTCCATATTTAAGATTCTGCTAATTTTTGTTAAATTATGATGGTATTAAATAATCTATTTCATAAATTTCCTCATTTCGTTCCTTTTAAAAACGAGTGAAATCACTTAGCAAAGTTTCACGAAAACAACCAGTTCGCCAAATATCTAGCGTAAATTCAAAGTCCTTGGCGAATTTTCATAGAAATGTAGGTTTGTACGTCACCGATATTCCAGTCGATAATGATATTAATCTCGTAACTGGGAAACCGCGTAACTGCTTTTCAATCTGTGGTGGAATTGAGAGCACTATCGAGTCGCTACGAATTCGTAATACGACCTCTGGGTCACGGTAGATAACGAGTGAAATTCTCTCAGTTCGACCTGCGAAACGGTCAAGTGGATTTAATAACGCTTCAATTGCGCTCCGCGCTTTTGTGAGAGATGCCGTTAGTTTAATCAATCGTAAAAAGCACCCGTGAAATTGCTAATAAGTCCTTCGTACAGCCGGAAAAATTGCGCGCATGATAGCGCATAATAAAAATGGAATTCGAAACGAAGAACGCGATGCGTAATTTATTACACAATTGTATAATTTGATACGTTTCACTGATTGGCATAATTAAGTCTGGACTGACGAGGTCCATGCGTCGAATATGAGTGTGTGCATTCGTGTAACTCGCGCCAGATAATTTATTAAATATATCACATTAATTTATACTTAATTATATATGTGGTTGAAAGTTTAATCGAAAGTTTAAATTGTCTTTTATTTTAATAACAGGATTTACGAGAATAATGCGAGAGAATGGAAAATATTATCTGCGGTGAACATTCGTGTATGTCTTTCCTCGAGTTACTTTCTCCAGTTTACTTAAAATCTAACGAAGTACTTGTAAAATATTTAAAATGCCTTTGTTTAACTAAAAGACGGAGAGAATTATCGAGACTTTAAATTCGAAATATAAATATCGTTCGTGCTCAGGAAGCACGTTCGCTCGTTAAATATTAGTAAAACACTAGTGCTCGAGAAATGAGGTCAATTTCGATCATTAACCACGACCTCATTAAAAATTTAGCACGTAAAATTAACTCTGCGATAAATAAAAAATATTCCTAAAAATATATTTTAGTCGTATCGTACGATCAATAGACAGAAATTGATCTTGCATAAATTGTTAATTTAATACTTGAATATATAAGTAAATATTAACATCATAAAATGTAATCATAGAAAATGAATGATTATTGATTTAATATGAAAGTTTTTCTAAAATTTGTTCTTTCACGTGTAATAAATATCTTGGTGTCATCACCCGACGCGATAATTAACACTTCAGCAAACGTCAAAAGCACGATCATCGATGAGAGAATCTCGTTACTCGCGGCAACACCTCGTGGACCATTCGCCTAGCTTAAACCAACCGCGTATCTATTCGCATTCTACACCGCCACTCGAGCAAGGTTGGCGAGATAGAATAGGACGAGTGGATGAATAGAGAATTCGAGAGGAAAAGCCGGGGAGATGGAAAGAAGTGAAAGGAGAGCGAATTGAGAAGACAACATCCGTGGTACGGAGACAGCAAGAGATGGAAGCGACGGATTCCATTGTTTTCCGACCCACTTCCAGACGAAGGGAGATTAACAGAGTCGTGTGTATCCACCGACGGATTTTCCAGCGTTTGAGCCTCCAAGACGATGACGACGGAGGTTGTGACTGCAGCTGTATGATAGATACCCCACCGGTTCGAACGAGCGCATCCCTCCGGGCGACGGCGACGGCGCGCGTCGCGGTTGTGTCACTTATGTTCGTTAAATTGTCTCGGTTACTGCATTGTCTTTACCTATCTCCTCGAAATTGCGGACACACCGCTGTAAATATCGCCGAGAGAATCGGGATTTTAACGAACCACCTGCCTAAAACAATATCATGTGTTGGAAAGGACGATTTATTGTACTAAGGCACTTCCATGCATTCATTAACAAGCAGTTTTTATAACTTGACAATCCCGCAGGATACGTCTTTTTTCATCGCAAGGATTTACTATTTCATTTTTCTTTTTTATTCTGGAAATATATATGTATATTATATTTAAGCTCTTTTTGTAAAATTCTTTTGAAATACCGCTTCGCAGTCCGTTCTGAAGCATTTCGGTTTCTCATGCATTTAATTCATAATTCTTCGCGCGTTGTATTTAACGCAACCGCATTGTTCTTTATTTGTTATTCCGTTGATCCATTCGTCAAAAGCGGATGAATTAACGGCGATATTGTGTGGAGGACAGCTTTCAGAGAGATGGATGGATCAGGACGCATTGTGCGTTTCCGAATGACCGGAGATTAACAGCTCTAATAGGGACTGCGTGCAATACCAAACGATGGATTTTGCATCTACATCCTCTGAGAGTGCTGCTTCAGCGATTATTATCTTCGCCTCGACGTCTTTGGAAGTTCTTTGTTCGCGACGGTCGAAGAAGAAAAATCTGTTTGATCAGGATAATGGGCAGAGGAGAAGAGAACGCGCTTTGTAGTAAACTTTTTCTCTCGCCATTCTTTTATCCGCGAGAATGCGATTACGTGTCATGCCCGCACTGGGTTCCGTATATATATTAACGTTGTTTATCCAAACGTAAAATGTTGGTTCTTGATTAAATACGAGAGTGCTGAAGATTGTTTTACTTATATTACACAATCCTCCAAAAAGAGATTTATTGACAAAAGCACGGCGCGATGACGCAGATGTAAATGATAAAAAAGTTACTATTTTAACAATTCATGATTTTTTTCAAACTTTGCAGTGTAGAGTCTGCCAATTTTCCCATAAATGGTTAAGTGAAACATACACGACGAGATATCAAACTTCCATATATACGGTGATTTTTTTGCCTCGGCTCTTTAGTTTTCTTTACTTTACGATTTTCGAGCGCTCCACTCAACGTCTTGAGCTGTACCGCTTCAGCAAGTATCGAGTATTTCCTCAGTGATTCGATACGAATTCGTCTTCCAAATTACATTTGTGAGCAAGTGGCTCTCGGCAATTTCCCATCTTCGATAAAAGGAGAGCGAGTCTTCAATTACTATCGCATGTTTGAAAAATCCAACGCTGCTTTCATCGTCGAGAATCCTCTTCTGCATGTTACGACGTAACTCGATATTCGAAAATGTCTCCTTTTCACATCATCCCTGCAGTCTTCGGCATTTCATTTCTCCCGTTCTTCGGCATTTTCTCTCTACCTCGTTCCCATTCAATTCCGTGGCCGCATTACTAATGACACGTCCAATTACCATCGGTGGTAGGTGTATCGTTTCCTCCTTCTTTGTCCCCGCACTCTTTCGTCCCTCCCTCCCGCCTGGTATTTGCAATCAGCGAGCGGAAACAACATTGGCAGCTTGACGGTCGTACCCGTTGACGCTTGTCGAAAAATGGATCGTCGACGAAGAATGAAAATAAGCCGGTCGCGTTGCAATTAGCGAGTGTAGGAGAAAGTGGGGCTTCTATACATCGGATTCATGCAATCTCGATGCAAAGTGAACGATTTCGTTGGCACCAATTGTGTATACGCGAGATAACGAGGTGCCGATCAATACCTCGTCGCTCGACGAAAATGTAATTTCGAATATAGAGATTTATTAATGAATGGCATTCGTTGCGCAGATAGGTTTACAGTATTTATTTATTACAAAATAAACTTCAAAAGATCCGCAACATAATTAGACATTTAATTTAAACGGCTTTCTTCAGAAATAATAATATCTCGTTTAGCAAGCAATATGTGTGTATCGTGGTTGAGTAAATCGAAGTGTCATGTAACATGCGCGACACTGTCGTCTTTAGGTAAACAATAAACTACAACCAGTGCTATATCTACAACGCACTTTGATATCGTTGGTCGTTAAACACACGTCTTTTGCCGACACAGCGGCAGCCGCTTATCACACGACGAGTATTGCGAACTTTATAACTCTCAGAGAATGTGTATATCTTCGAATTTGTCTTCCGCAGAACAAACGATGCACTGGTTCGCCCAGATTGGTGGTGATGACTCCTTCGCTTTGACAGGTATGCTCGGCGTGAGCTCAACGTGCTTCGATAATGATTGTGTGACTTGTGTGTGAAATACTCTCTTTACAATATTGACAGAATCGTCGTGTTTGATGTATTTGATGCGATTTCTAATTGTAAGACCAAGAGACTGCATCCCAACCCGTTAAAGAGCGTAACTTGTGTGCAGAAACACATCTAATCATCATCATCTTTCGGAAGTAATGATTATAAAGAAGAAAATGATATATGTATCATGATTCTAGTTTTGTTACTCAAGAGATTCCATGTAATTTGTGCTGCTAACAAAAAATTAATGTATCCCAGTGCGGTAATTTCATTGTGATTTGCAATTTGAAATTGAGATAATTAATATCTGCGCTATAATTAGAAAGGCTAAAAACTGCTGCCTGAATATATCCGTCTGTATTCGATTTTATTCAACGAAGAACGTGACAAATCCTGATGCGGATTTCTATTTGCACGAGGATCGAATTTAACTAACTGTAAGCATAAGGAACAATCATGTCTGAGTATAAAAAAAATATAAATATGTTATATGAAATATGAGTCATGACATATTTGTCCTTTTAACGACAAGCCGCAGAATGATATTATAATTCCCAATCACGTTTATTGGGATCTGTTAAATTGATGTTGCTAGGTGATCATTTAACAAGGCTGATGTTAAACGTTTTTATTGATTTTTCAGTCGGCACTCACTATTTCATGAAAAAACGTATTCATGCAACAAATAACAATGATTCTAACGAGTCGTGTAATTTGGCAATTGTGTAACGCAGTGCGTATTCGACGAATAATGTGGTTAACGCTTTCCAGTTTGAATACTAATCCCTTGATATGTTTATAAATTTAATAAACGATATTGAAAAAAGTATATCGCGATATTTACTAATATCGCGAAATGTGTCGTTGCATTCGCGAACGTGAATCCCGTTTAAATATAATATAAACATGATAAATACACTGTAAAAACGTTTTTTTTTTCACATCCTAATGTAAACGGATTATTTTACAGAGTAAAATATATTTTCTTAAAAAGTAAAAATAGAGTAAATATATTTTATTAAAATATATGAATACGTTGTATTTTTTAAATTAACATTTCTTTCTGAACTGTTAAATTATGCTAGACGCTAAGAAATTTTCTACATAATATTATATCTTGATCCATGTATTGGTAATAATAGAGGCTGATTAAATAAGCATATTTTTTCACTAGTACACGATTCTCAGCTTGTCTGGAAAGCTTCTTAGCGAATGCGGCTCACATTTTTAATATCGCATTCAGTGAAAAAGATTTTCTTTCTATATCATAAGAAGCGATCATAAGCCCGTTTTTCATCGTGCTTGTAAAACGAATGTCATCTGCAAAGCAGATTTATTCCGCAGCCTTTTCTTAGAGTCCGATTATCTTTTTCAAAGAAATTAAAAGGCAGAGGATTATATGATGGAAATGTCGCTTTGAAAAATGAGAATTGTCATTTTATAAAATGGAGATATCGTAAAAGGGGGCCGAAGATAAGATTACTAGGCAAAGAGCAGCCATGAAAAGACAATGTATACTTTATACATTGATATACATATTAGAAGAACTAACTAGAATAAATTTTTGTTATTTTAAATTTTATACACTTCTTTGTTTTTAATTCTTAATTATTTCATTAATGAAGTTTTGTATTTGTGTATATACCAAAAGTTATCAGAACCTATCGATATTAATGTCAACACGATTTGTCCATTACTTTTCTCCGTTGCAACATCTGTCCACAGTTTTGCATTAACAGAGCAACCACGTGCATGTAAATGCCCACTTGTTTTAATCGTGCAAGCACACATTTGCATACTATATCACTATACACGGCAGGTGCATACCGTAACCATTTATTCATTCATGCGTTCATTCGTACGTGCTGATGTAGTCATAATACTTGAATCTTACGTGCACACGCACATGTCTCGCTTTCTTCTCGGCAGATGTGAAGCGCCCGCGAAGTCTCTACGACGAGGACTCCCTCGACGGCGATCGTCCTTACGAGAATGAAGGTATCAACGTTTTCAAGGGCACTGTACAGACCGTTCCCCTTTTTCCTTCTTCGAGTAGACTTTTCCTCTTTCAGTAACACTTAATAAGCTAACAACGTCTTTTAACGCTTTCGATTTAAATCAATTTTAACAAATAACAGTGGCAAAAAATATTCGTGTTAATCTCGCATATTTCTGTATTTTGATCTGATAATAAGTAAACTTCATTTATGTTGGACATTATCTAATCGCGCCTTTTATCATGTGAGATTCTCTGAATGAATATTTTGTAAATAGCTATTTCTATTACCATCCCGATGTATTATATACATACATATATATCTACTCTATCTTTTCGTATTGTTAAGAAAAGTGTGAGATAAGATTCCCTTGTAATCAAGATAATTCTTGTTCCTTTACACACACATATACACACATTCTTGTTATATAAGTTACTTTTAACAATTAATTATTTATGACAGCATTTGATAATGTTACTTTCTCGATAGGCTTTTATTGTATTACATTTACTTTGAAAATTGTTTAAAATTATTTATTTCTAAATTCTTTCTTTTATTTATGGTTTAGAACAATCTTTTACAATTTCGATTGTAAATTGTTTTAATGTAATTAAACCTGCTTAACTTGAAATTTCCATTATTAAATATGTAATTAAGTGAAGAAATGCGATTAAAAACTTCGTATAATATTCTAATCGAGTTCACTTGTTTGCGAAAAATAATCGATACAAACTCAGCATTTGCATTAGTTGCATTTGGACAGGCAGATACTAATATGTTCGCCTCGCGTTGTTCACAGGACGGGAGTCGACGGGAAGCTCGAAGGAATTGGACAGGGCGAAGCTCGTCCGCGAGAGGCAGAACGAGGAGCGGCAGCGGAAGTTGGAGGAACTCAGGCAGCAGGCTCTCGCCGCGCAACGCTTCCGTGAGCAGCGTGAGGAAGAACGACGAAGACGAATCGATGAGCTCAGATCGCGTGATAACGACAGGTTTGTTAATTCAAAATCCTATAATTAAGAGAATCTAATTGATTAATCCAATTAATCAATTTCATATAATACAATTTGAAGAACATAGCTCTAGCTGCTTTATAGCAAATCCTTTTTCCATTAATTATCTGGAAATTTTTGGAAAGAATTTATACATTTACTATACGCAAAGGAAATAAATCTTAGGCTCGTTCGACTTTTAAAAGTTTCATCTGAAATTGTTGTCTTGACATGTTTCGTCGCTTTTTCGCGCAGACGAAATCAAGTCGAGGAGAGAAAACGGCTGATATGCGAGGCGGAGCGAGAGAGACGGGAGGCTATCCTCCGCAAGAATCAGGAGAGGGAGGCGCGCATCGAGGCGAGGAGGAGAAACGAGAGATCGCACATCGTCTTCGCGTTCGGCAGCTCCACACCGCGGATGCTGGAGCCTGCCGACACCGGCGGCTCTACTTTCTGGGGCACCCGCAGAGCCACCTCCACTACCAATGTCATGATGTTCTCTGCTGCGCAGCCTCTCACCAGGAGGTCCTCCGAAAGAGAGCTCGACGGCAGCAAGAAACGGGCCACTTCCGCCGGCGGACTCGACCGGAAGCCGGGCGAAGGTCAGTCGACATATTTCTTCAAATACCGAGCGAATTACGCGAATTCACTTGTTGAAGATCAATCGGCAAGAAGAAGAGCGTTGATGCGATCACGTTAGCTGCACATCGCACATGGAAATTCGATTAACTCTTTCAGCGCGCGATGTTAAACTTGCTACATACTTGAGCGTTCTGTTCTGCGAGAACAATTCTCGCTCGGAAACTCTCCAGTAGATTCTCATAGAATTTGAAATATTTATGAATAGTTCACTAGTTCGTATTCTATATCGCTCTATACATATACAAGATGCAAATTCGATTTAATCAAATTTTACGCGAGCATTTTATTTTCCAAGCCTCTACATTACGAATGCCGATAAATTTTAGTCTCGATTTAATCAATTTCTCATCATTTTCTAAAAGCCAGCACGATTTTCGTCTATATGTTTGTAACGGATTGTAAATAATATGAGACGCTTTCTCTGCTCGATTTATTAGAGATGGAGATTCAAACATTCAAATGATTTACAAAGAATATCTATAAAATATTCGCGCGTACGTAACATGAAGTAGCCTAGTAGCAGCTGAAAGCGTTAAAGGCTTTTCTGCATCTCGCATACGGCGGGTGAATAATACACGCGTGGTATCTGTTCTGCACCGTGCACCAGTAGAATGCAAATTAGTGTTTACCGTAAATTCAATCGGGCGTCGAATCAACAGCGTTGATGTGAACACGCATGATGAGCGACTCGGAAATGGATTTACCTTAATGTGAGTATAAATATAGATCGCGACACTTGATGTATGCTACGTATGTATCGTATAATGAGGAAGATCGAGACCGGACGGCGACTGATTAATGTCAGTTAAGCCACCTTGCAATTAAATATACGACAGTATTTCGTAAGTTAATCCTTTTGCATTTATAGTTCGGTGGTTGTTATTCGAAGCGAGATAAATCTGACGATACGCTCCGAAGGAATAAATCGTGTCGGTGAATTCATGTCCTGCGTCTCCACATTTGCTTGCTCCGCCCTATTTACTTGAACGTATCCGGCGTATGTATCGATGATTGATGTTTGTCGTATGGGCCTACAATCGTTCTTCCTGTCGCCGAGGGATTCATGAGGGATGGTGTCGTTTAATCGCGTCGTCGCTACAAGAATATTTCTATGTCACGTCGGTTTTCAGAGCTAGCCGGATAAACGAGACTCGCGTCTTCGTGCAGCCTATACTTTACGCACGATCGCTTCCGATACCTTTGATAGCGGATATATTTTTCTTAGTGGCAATCGATACTGCCATTTACGAGGTAGGAAGAAACTCCATCGTACGAGATGTGATAAACAAAATTTTACGGTGCACTTGCTGTAGAATTCAATCTGCGTTTCGTTGCTCACATATTCGTTGTATTGTTATCATGATGTGAAATGCAAAAAGTAATTCAGATAATCGTGATAAAATATATGAATTATTATGATTAAAGAAATTAATGAATAGATGAAATGATTCAATTACCTCGCTGTAAAATTAAATGTCGAATAATTAAATTGCGTGTTTCAGTTCTTAAATAGCCGATTAAATCAAAAGAAATTGCGTTATAAATCGTATAGAATCGCCGTCGCACGAAGCACTTTCGCTCACAATTGCTCACGGCGAAGACGACACCGCGAAGCATGAAAGAACGATTGTTCCAGCACTTCTTAGACTCTGTAACGCGATCTTGCCCATAGCGTAAATTTTATTTTTGGTTCTTTACTTTCAGGTTTACACTTTCTATAGCCTACTCTGTGTACACTCTTGTGGCATATCCCTTTAAATGACCGCCGAATTCACGTATTACGTATTTTCAGCTTGAGATTGGTTACACGGCGAGTGTTGAGAACGTCTTGAGCGCGATATGAGTCGCAAGTTTTGCTTTTTACGCGACATCATTTGTTTTTACTTTTACACTGCACACAGATTGCTCGGTTGGCATTCACTCTGTAAACGCCGCATCTTCATCCACATTCTCTCCTATCCGAGCATATGTTCTCTCTTTTTTTTTCTTTCTTTAAAGAAATATCATTCTGGAAACCACTGAAAGGAAACGAAAATTAGAATTTTTTTTTCTTCATTTAAGGAACCAAGAAATAATTTTTCTACGTTTTCTCTCTGTACTTCTCCCCTTGGTTATGATCTGTACCTACTTATCGGTGGTGGTTGTGCATAGCGAGGTGTACGGGAAAAAAAATAATGAGAGATAACACGCGTGCGATCGGCACTGTATCTAACTCACGCTGATACTTATGCTTTCCCGTCCTATTTTTCTCATTCCTGCCCCCCCCCCCCATTTAAAATATTTTTCGCGGAACACCTAATATTTGCGTTGCGTTGAATGGTTTGTTCGCAGATATGAGAATGTCCTCGTCCATGTACGAGGTGTTCAATTGGAATTCTAGCCCCGATCCCCCCTTAACTCCTGCCAAGCATAAGAGAGCCAGCCTCTCTCTGCCCCCCACAACCGACATCTTTGCCGTCGATGATAAGTCCGATAGCGACACTAGGCGTCCCATGATTCAGCGGGTTGCCAGTGGTGAGTCCTGATGTCTCAGAAGCCTGCAAGAAAACCGGGAGAGATCTGTTTCTGTTCGTCTCAAGAATGAATATTGTCGATCCTTTACCTCTCGTTTTTGTTTCTAGCACTCGCTCTCGTCGGACTCTCTCCCTTTCTCTCTTGTGTTCTACGTCTCATTGCGTTTTTTTCATTTACTTCACCACACACTCTATCGACGCATGTCACGTTCATTTAATATCATGAAAGCATATCCCGCGCGCACTTTTCTCTCATTCCGTAGTTCCCTTCCCGATTGTATGGTATTGGTATCAGGTGGATTTTACGATTTACCGTAGCCACTTGTGAGCGAAACCACGTGGCAACCAATATCACGCAACAGTGTGTCGTATAGTTTGTTTATCCGTATGCAATTCCTTAATCTCGTTACTAACACAAACTAATCACTAGACACTATTAATATTTAGTTGCATTTTGCAAGCCGTATCTTTGCCAGTCAGTAATACGCAGCTCAGTGTTATTTGTTAATGAATTCGTCGCGAATATTAGGACGATTATCAGTCACGACCGATCTTTCATTCATTTCATTAAAGTATGTACCTATTCTATACATATGTGTATCAGTTAAACATTAGACTATCAGTTTACTAGTAATTACATAACTTAAAATTATACGATAATTTACTACATGATAGAATTTAAACTGTAGTTTAGCAATAAAAGAGTAATATTATTTCACGCTGTAGCAGACTAAGCTAAGAATCTAAACCGTAGTTTGAATTAACCGGTGGTTAATGATATCGTTAATTTCATGCAGACTTATAATCGTCAGTAGTATAAAGTTTAGTGCTTGTATAGATGGATTTCTGGCTGTATTTTTAGATGTTGTTCAATAGAATGTTATCTTTATTAAATGTTCCTATGTATCCTAATGTGTCGCTTATAGAGGATATCGTAATATATTTTCCTTTACACTTAAAATTTATGCAGCATGTACACTAATTTGAAACTGAAATAGTTACATGCGCTTTAATACATAGCGATTTACGTACATTGAGAGAATATTTTTCATAAAAATTTAAAAAAATATATATTCTTTTTTGCTCTGTAATCTCTTCTTTCTTCAATTATTTATCAAAAAATGCACTAACTCTTTAATACATTAGAATTTCGAGCAAAACACAAATATACTTTACACCCATGCAATTCCGAATAAAATCTCTCTCGGTGTACTTCTCCGCGTCATCCTCACGTGCCACGCAGCATGAAAAGCAAAGCAACACAGCCGCAAGTAGCGAAAAAAAAGGGAGAAATAAAAATCTGGATGCGACCGAGTTGGCGCGTCAGAGAAACTCTTTACTCGAGTGTGCGTATCTCCATTGAACGAGCCGCGCCGCGTATCCGCACGAATCGACGGACGTTGCTCGTTTCGCAGTACGGGCGGCAAACCCTAAGCGAGACTCTTTGCAGGTGACGATAGCGACGGTGGTGGCACGCCCAGCACTCCGACCTCGGTTTATCTACGTGTCAACAGGAGACGCACCGACCTCATGCCGACGATACCATCCCCGCGCGACGGCCCGCCGTCGACGGCACGCAGTTCCAGCGCCAAGGCCTTCACACGCTCGCCAGGTAGGACTTACTCCATGTCGAGGCTGGACCAGCTGGCGCAGCCTAGGAAACGCACGGCCGAGCAGCAACTCGGCACGTTGACGGAGCAACAGCAAAGCCAGCCTCTGCAGAGCGCTTCTAGCATGAGTCGCAGCATGTCGCACTTGGCCGCGCCCGGCGGAGCCAAGAGCCTAAAACGCTCCGATAACTCGCGCAGCATGGGCACGCTACCGGGCGCGGCGCCTATGCCCAGACCCACCCGCGCCGAAAGACTGCGCCGTAAGGCCCGCGAGCACCAGCAGGCCCAGCAGCAGCAAGGTAAGTGTGTGTGACCGTGCACTCAACTCGACCACCTTCGAATCCTCCACTGAATCAAGCTTCTGTACATAGCGAAAGTATCTCTCGCGCGATTTCCCACGAAATAAACCGGTAATTCTTCCATTGTTTGCACTAAGAGAGCGTAGATCTTATCCCTAATCGTTTATAATTATTATAGATGAAGTAGTTAAGCGATAGCTTAATAATAGATCACGTTGTTTCTACACGTAAATCATAGTTTTGTAAATTTATCTCGTTGAAAAATACTTAATATTCTCTTTGTGCGATATAATGTCGATTTTCTCCGATCAGCTTTTCCCCGAATAATTAATCACCCGTTTCGCTTTGTACTAATTTACTAGTTGACTTTTGTCGCTGTATACAGTCGGACTAATCATCGCTTAGTGACAAGCTTCGTAAGCTAGATCGACACATGGTCTTCGACAGAATAAGGAATGATTTCATGAATCAAAGTTAAAGAAAAAAACAACACATGAATGCACTCACTGTCTAACAAGAAACTTCAAATCAGAGTTGGGTGCACACATGTATGAATAAGTGTGAAAAGGAGTCTTTGTAAGTCAATCGGGACGACCAACTTCATCTCGCGGCGTGAAGATAAAAGAAAAAATGTTTTCCTTTTAATTTCAAGCCGCAAAACATTAATTATTCTAGTTCATCGTTTTGATACACTTTTCTATATCTATTATACTTTCTCATCGGTGACTAACCCATTTTTAAAAGTTTTAATATACTTTTTAATATCATGTTCTGATGGCAGACTCTTTTAACGTCAAGAGCCGGTTGCATCAACGATCTGCATTAATTAAAGAAAGGCTAAATTAATAATGCAGATGAAGATAATTTAATTAAGCATTCTCAGCATTGCCGATTTTGATGCAGCCGGCTCTTTAACTTCCGAATTGATTAACAACGCTCCTCTTACTAAGGAAGATCTCTCAACGGCTTTTCGGTACAACGGGTGAAGGTATGAGCTAATATCTCGGTAAGCTGCACGTTTTTCTTATATCTTATTATATCACTACGTAACTTATCTCGCAATTCACTTAGTATTATATATAATATATTTGTATTTAGTGTGCAATTTATTCCTAGTTAATTCACTACATTCATTACAATCCCTTTTTATTTTGCGCGATTATAATTTAATTTTTCTCATTTTGTTGGCTTAATTTTTCTTATTTATATTGGCTTACTTTTTTGTTTCAATTTTTCTAGCTTTATTTTTTTTATACTCACGGACTGCACTCGGTGGCGGTGCTTGCGTTTCGGTTTCTTACTGTTCGCTTTGCTACACGTTGCGTTCGTCACAACAACGTTACAAGCGCGACACGATCTCGATATGTGAAAAGTACGAGCAGGAAATTTATTATTCGCACCGCCGTGCTTCTCTACCGAGAGATCCGCGCGATCGCGTTCAATCAGTCTCCAGCGAAAAGATCAATAGATTACTTATCTTGGGTGGGTGCGCGTAGGTATCCGCAGCGGCGAAGTGACACCCAACAGCCCGTCCCGACCGCACAGCTCCATGAGCCAGCAGAGTGCCAGCAGCGTGGGCAGCAGTAACGTCAATCTGCGTACCCGCACGGCCGCGTCGCGCCGACCGCGGCCTGCTTCTATTGCCGGTACCGGTGTCTCGGTCACAGAGAAACACAGTGAGCATGCTTATTTTACTTCTCCTCCTACCGACCCTTTCAGATCGCCGAAGATCAGCGAGAGGACCAGGAAAAAAAAAAAAGAAAGTTGGAGCAATTAGGTCGAAAAGGAGATTAATAATCGATGAAAATTATTTTTCTAATCTGTAATCCAAATATCTTGAAAGAATTCAAACATGTACATATACACGCCTGAAAAAATATAACAAGAACTTTAAAGATATTTCGACTTTATCCGAAATTTTTTTTCCATATATTTTCTTTTTTTTTTATCTACTAATTTATATTTTTATTATTTTTTTACGAGATTTTTCTCTTTCAAATTTCTATTATCAGCCTTTTGTATTTGTATATATTATTTTTAATCATTAGATTGCTATAGTATTGCACATGTAAATACTGTATATACTCAAGAAGACTTGGCGCGTGTAGAAAAGAAAATACCCCGATCGTTCTCGTTATCGCAGATCTGGTGGGTGATATGAAATTAACGAAGGATTCAAAGCCACCACTGCCAAAGGTCCATAGCACTCCAAAGAAACCTTCTACACCCAAAGCCGCGGAAGTAAGGAAGCCGACGGAGAAATTAATCAAGAATGCCAAGTCATCACCGCGAATAACTCCGAAAGCGACACCTCTGCAAAGTCCTGGAGTTGAGCACGTACCGCTCATCCGCGAAACTAACGCGGAAATCATAAAGCAGGATGAGGGTAAAGAGACGCAAGATGTGAAATCGGAAGACAAACACGAGGAAAAGAAGGATCAGGGTAGCGAAAAGACGCAGGTAAATTTTACTCTATGTCGATACGTTGGAACATAATTTTATGCTACGTATGAATTAAATTAAATATTTCTTTGTTCCAACATTTCAATATATACTTTTTCTTACATAGTAAAAAACGTATATTTAATTTCTAATTTTTATTTTAATAACAGGAAGCGAATGTTGTCGAATCTTTAACTAACGATGTAAAGGTAGCGATGGAACCTGTGTCGGCAAGCAAACAAGTCAAAGACGAAACTAATTTAATGCAAGAGAATCTGTCGGGTGCTATTGCGGAAGAACCATCGAAAGTTGTTAAAAAGGAAGAGAACAAGCAGGAGAAGAAATCGCCAGAGATGACTGAAACCAAGCTTGAAGGTGAAGTGGATGAGCAGGTCGACATGTCAGGTATGATTAATCGAAATTTTATCGAGATTGAACGATCGTTTGTTACGATCGTAAGCTCTTGACTGTTAATGGCGGATGTCTATTTTTATTAATGATTCGCTTTACAGCTTCGATGATCGCGAAAATCAGAATCACCACTGAAGAGGAAGCAAAGGCCGCTTTGGCTGAGCGTAGGAGATTAGCTCGCGAACAAGCGGAACGAGAAGCGGAATTGGAGCGTCTGCGACAGGTACCATCTATAAATCAATTTAATATTAGACCGACTTGGTCTTTACATCTGTTATCTTACGGGGTGACAATTTCCGCAGGAAGAAGAAGCGCGTCTAGAAGCTGAAAGATTGCGCGCGGAGGAAGAAGAGCAACGTCGTCTGGAGGAAGAAACTATACGCTTAGCTAATGAAGCTCGAGAGGCAGAGGAACAGCGATTGCAATTGGCAATCGAGGAAGCTAAACGTCGCGAGGAAGAGGATAGAAGAAAAAGAGAAGAAGAAGCTCGTCAGAAACAAGAGAAAGAAGAAGCAGAACGCAAAGCGAGAGAAGAAGCAGAAAGGTTGGTCTAAAGAATATTCTCTTTTTCTGTTTTGAACAACTCATAATAGATTAATAATATCCATACATTTAAATTACAGACAACGAATCGAAATGGCTGAGAGGCTTAAGAAGGAAGAAGAGGAGCGCAACGCCAGACGCAAACGAGTCGAGGCGATTATGCTTAGGACTAGAGGCAAAAATCAAAGCAATACGTCTGCCAAGGTACGTCTACATTAGAGACATTACAAATATTAATTTTTCAATTAAATTAAAAAAATTATTTTAATTAATCATGTTGGAGCAATTTGTCCAGATTGAATTTTACATAAATAAACGCAAAATTAAAAGATAATTTTATGTTGAATATGTACAGGGAGAGGGCGGTGATGGCGACAAGCTAAAAGAAGATAGCCCTACTGACGAGAACAAACCGGTACCGGACGGTAAAGGTGACGACGTCATGACAGCCAGTTTAATTTCCGAGGCGACTCAGCAATTTATCAGCGGCGAACAGCGGGCGCATCACACGGAAAATAGCGTACCTGCACCGGACATAGTGCACAACGGCACGTCACATAGCAACGGCATTAACGAAAGTAAAATTGTATTGGATAATAATCAGGGTAACGTTGAAGGAGAGTTGAACGGTCATCATACGAATCACGGGAACGGTATCAACAGTCAATCGATTACGCTGGACAATGCCACTGTGTAAGTATACCAATTCTAAACCCGCGGAATCGTAAACGTGTTATACCGTCGTCGACCGAGAGTCAAAAAATCTTACGTCTCTTCTCGTTAGATCGATGGACAATAATACCATAGTAATAGCTTGTTTCGGTAACGCGTATTTAATTGGGCATTGAGACATGTAATTTTCGACGCGATTCTCAAAAGCGCCCAAGATCAATTTTAGATGTGACATATGTATGCTATATTAGAATCCGATTACTCTATACGATCAAAAAATATTAAAATATATTGAATAATGTAATATCAAGAAGGTTTTTTGCGTAATTGCGAAAATATCTTATAAGCATAATACAAAAATTAACTCAAACAATCTTCTATTATATTTAATTAATCAGGAATTAATTAAATAATTAATTAAGAAGTAATTATTGACAGATAGGTGAAATGCAACACGTCGATCACTTACATTTTTACAGGGCATAAATAATTGCGCAATACTAGCCAATATACTATTTAATTAAACTGAACTGATTATTGATATAATCAAAAGGTTGGCCGTGTAGCTACTCGATCGGAAAAAGAACAAACGTATAAATATCATACTCGTAAGATAGCTGACTAACCCGAAATGAGAGGATCAACTTTTAAATATTGCATGTAAAATCTTCAAATATATAAAATTCTTATTTACATAACATTTAAAAAGATCTACGCGTTACAGAAAATCAAGAAATCAAATATTACTATGGCATCTATTGAAAATATAAATTTCTGTATAAAGATTTCTTGGGTGCCCTGTATAATTTAGTCCACATAGAATACGTGCCACGTTGAATGTATTAAATTAAACATATTATACGATTTTATTTGTAAATAGGTGTGATAAAAATTCTAAATCGCAATGAATCATTATCGCACCACAAGCAGATCGATTATTTCGAGTTTTAGATTTGTATACGTACGTAAGAGGGATTCTATCAAATTCCGAAAGGGCAATTATTTGAACCTTCATTTGTGGTTGAATGTGAAATTGTTAGATGTATTCGTAAAAACTTTATTATCAAAGGCTTTGTATATAATGAATTACGTTGTTTACAATATGTCTTGTAATGTCGGTTAACTATTAAAATGAATTAATTAAGTTTCAAAGTTATATACATATATATATATGTACACATTATTAAACAGTTATTTAGTAAAAAAGTTTATATATATTGCGCTTTCCTGAGACAGGAAGGAACTGCCTATTAACATTAATTTCACCGACATTTATCGCTTCATGCAAATATTCTGAGTGACCCACGCGTATGTACATTGCAAAAGTAGCCAGAACAACGGTTGACGGACATAATAAGCACGCCATTGTGACTCGCCGTTTACGATATAATTAGTTGCACAATTAGCAACATATTAATCAATAACAAATTATACGAGATTAACATTACTATCGCGATGATAATGAGATTGCAAGTACGAGAGTGTATATTGTATCACCTATTGTAATAGTTACATATATTTTATAATTGATATTTAGCTATGTACTAACGGCAAATTTACATACTATTTTTAGCTAGGATTATCAAAGATAACGGGAATCGCGTAGGTACTCCGATTGTCATTAAGTATTATATGAATGAGTTGGAAGAACGTCATGTAATATCGTACATGAAGCATGAAATCGTTAAGAGAAATATTAACAGAACTGCAGAATATACTTAGTGTTAAATCGTACAGATAAATCTCAGTGTATATAATGTAAAGAGAGACAAGAGCGGCATAAATCTAATGAGTCATCGAAACGTTTCGTTTTGTGATTTCACAACATACCAACTCAGCAAGGATGAATAATGTTAACGTGACTTTCACAAAGTGGCGACAATGACGCATCGCAGTTACTTTACGGAAAACGCAACTAATATTTTCGTAGTACAATAAGTACGTAGCGTAATAACTTTTAAATATCATCTTTGCTGAGTATCTCTCTTTGATCTTTCCTCCAATTAGGTACTAAAAAGTGTTCTTCCATTTATTGACCCGTTGTGCGTATATACCGTAAGTGCGATTGATTTTCGTAACAATCTCTTCGTAACAAATCACCAATGCATGTTAACTAACGTTGATATGGTGTGGCTTGTTCTTTTCCTTGCACAATGATTGTCTGCGTTCCTCATGCTTGTGTATTGTACATCATCAAGCGCGGTATATGTCAACTTACTGCCTACTTTTGCTATGTACTATTCCACATATTTTCCGATATAGTATTTTTTCGTGAAAAAACGTCTCTTCATGTGCACACCACATCCACGAATCCTACACAAAGGTATAGGAAAGATAAAGGAAAGAAGAAGACCAAACGCGCGGCATGAATTTTCTTCTCTAATATATATCTTAATCCGACGATTCGATCGAATGTGATACAATTTTTTATGTAATTAGATCTGTATTTGCTGTTTTGCTGTAATATGTTCTAGCAAGCTATGGTTATTATAGTTATACGGTTGACGTGTCGATTTAATCAACTGGTTCCCGTAGTTGTTTAAACAGAAACCTGTTACGATCTATCGACAGAATAATATATGTAATGTATTAGATGTATTCCAATTTTTTATTCGGCCGAACGCAGGCGAAAGATTTATATTGGATACCACAAAGGACCGCAAAACTATCTAGTTGTGGACTATCTCGGTTAGTACTGCTACGCATAAAAGCAATTTCTATCCGATTTAATCGCTTATAATAGTTGTTTTATATAGTTACATCAAAATAGTTGCCTTCCGAGGCATTCAAAGTCTGCAATTTGAGGAGCAGTCATATGATCGATGATGGCAAAAGAACATCAAAACTGACGCATAAGCGCTTTACATTTACCCGATACGTTATTTAGTTATCTTTATCTAGCTTCGTTCAGTTGACAACGTTTTTTAGATGTATATAGAACCGCGAACTTTGTTCCTGTTCGACAAAGTCCGAATCCGTTTTATTTCGTTTTAGTGATTCAACTGTCTGGAGGTGTTAACGAATCGCTCGCAATCGGCTTAGCTAATTTAGCGGCGGCGATTTTGTATTAGTGATCATGAATAGTCGCTTAAGTCGTAGTCCCTAATCCATATGTCTGGCTGTCAATTTAGTCTTTGTATGTTTTTCATTTGGCTTGTTTTGTAGCAAGCAAAACAACGTGACCAACAACCTGTTAGACCTGTCGGACTTCGATACTCTGAGTAATAACAGTAGCGGCTACGATACCGGGCCGATACTCGAACTGACGCCCAATCTGGCGAACGAGGATACCCTCAACTCCAATCTGAATCCAACGGCAATGCCGTTTACCCCGATGGGGTTCGCCGCCGCTAATGTCAATGTCAATCCGTTCCAAGACAATTTCATCAACAAGCCACAGGATAACAACCAAGTACCAGGTATGTAAGCCTGATCTCTATTGTAGCGTTTTTAGAAGAAAAATAGAATTGTGATTTTATGTTTAGAAACTCTGCATACTATAACTAAGTGAACTAATATATCACTTTTTAACTAAAAATACAGGATACGGATAACAGACTCTAGTGTAAATGCTGTCTCTCTTTTTCTCCGTAGATCTACTATCATAAGGTGTCTCTTAAACGTTCCCGGACGAACAGAGAAAGAGCAGTTGGGCAACTGATAACCGAATTGCTCATAGCGAGCAATAGCTATATTCGGAACGAGACGTTGTTGTTTATGATAATGTAAATAACCGCCGTCGCGCGACGTATCATGTGTAAAGGGGATATCTCGGTGAACGAGGGCGCAAGGACCATCCCCCAAGCCCCACAATTATGCCGAGCTCTGAGCGTCATCACCGGGAAGAAAAAAGTGTAAAATAATATATAATGTTAATTAATTATTATTGCGCAACAGCAAAGTGTGGACACTCAATCTGTGTGTCGTAGTACGCTATTAGGAAAATAACTTTCTTAAGGAAAGGGGTTGAGGCCTGTGTTTGTAACACATCGTTTTCGGATGTTCATACACGGACGTATTTTACGATAACGAATTGACATGAAATTTATTTTCTCTCACATATATACACGAACACACATATATACACGATTTCGCCCTTACCACACACGTATATGTGTGTAGATTACAAGTAAGATTTTTGAGGCGTTAATCAATAGAGATGAGAGAATTGGAAATTACGCGAAGAGAGTAAATGACGAATAAATATAGCACAAGAAACGAAAGAAGAAGAGGGATAAAATAGAAAGGAGTCAGATCAAACGCTGAGAACGTATCTGCCAAAACGACGGATTAGAGAATGTCCCTAACATATAAGAGATAACGTAGCATGGTACTATCTTATAACAATTTCACAAGCGGATTTAAGCGCGTTATCGTGTTTCAACATAAGAGACATTCTTGCGGATACGAGATGGGGAAAAGTAGCACGGACAGAGAAAAAGAAAACACTTTTCTTCCATACCAGATTTCGGGGCGTGCGCTCACTAGTCAAGCAATCTTACTGTTTTTTTTTCTTTTCTTCTTTTTATCGTATTTCATTTAGAGGGCCTACTTAACATTGGTATATACTCTAGGTATTCGCTAGACTTCACTATCGTTACGTTTTTTTTTTTCGCGGATCGTGCATAAATTCTCTAGCCTGTGATGATGACGATGACGATAACGCTGGTTGCTTTGTGAGATAGCCGCTGCATAAGTTAACGGTGAGTGACGATCTAGTAACGTTAATTGTAAGAATTGTTACGCGAGAGATACTACAGATGGGATTTAACCGCATTTTATTCGATAAAGGTGAATACGTTCGATACTGCAACGTTAATGCATAACGCAAAAGTGAATATTGGTGCAATGTCCAAAAAATGCGAGTTCTACTTGTCATTATTTGCAACATAAAAATATTATGAGACGTGAAATATATCGGTAGCATGCTCTATATATTTTGCGCTCGCCCTATTTCACGATATCACGTAGAGTTCGACGACAGATTATTTATAACGAGGATAGAGAAACGGACATTTCTGTTATCCTAATTTTATTCGGAAAACACGATCGAGAAAAACGATTATATCGACGTTAGAGGAAAGATAGGATTAGTGTACAGATTGTTTGTTATTGAATTTTTCTCGTATATTTGCGCGCGAAATTTATCGTCCTTTTTTCCCCTCGCTCTTTACCTTATTCGCATTTTATCATAATCGCCGTAGAGGATTTATCAAATTGCATATAATATAAAATTGAAATCTTCTCGTTAACATCGTTTTCTGTTTAAGCTCGAGATTTTTCCTTATTCGCATTTGCAACTTGTTTTTCGGGCGCCGAGAAAAAGTCTCTTGTCCATATATAATCAATATATTTTCTTATAAACGATTAATATATATTTTTACCGAGAGTTGTTGGAGCGAGCGTGTTTATACAAAGTTGCATCGCGAGTCACTTGTTCATACGTCCCCGATGACTAAAAATGTTCGATCACTAAAAAGAAAATAAGCAGAAAAAGCGTATACACAGCCCGAAACCATGCAAAGTGACAGATTTATTGACACGTTTTATCGCCCGTTCTCACATGAGAAATTGTCTCTGCGTTTGTCCTTGTAAAAATTTCAACGCTGTAACGAACCCGATTCGTTACGACTTGTTGTATGAAACTTATTTATATTAGTTCTTGTTTTTCGACAATATTTATTAATCGTTTGGACACCGTATATTACCCCTGCGTCACGTGTACACTTATACTATTTTTATTAGATTTGGTTGAGATTCTATTAAAAACTATTCTATAATATCTAATAATAATGGTAATTAAATAGAGTACGAGAGAATGTTTCTAAATATACGATAACGAAGAAAAATGCTAAATATCATCAGTCATGTCTAAAGAAACGGATACTTCATATTGTAAAAAATGCTTGTATGTAATAAATACTTAATACTGAAAAAAAAAATCCAAAATGTGTGCCGATTTTTTACCTGCTCCTTCCTCTTTGCTTCATGATACTTGTACGTGATACTTGTGATTATTCCGTTTAATATATCGCTTCGCACTGGGGAACATCAGTGATTCTACCTGTAGTATCAACTGCAGTTGTTGCAGCAATTTATAACGGTACTCTGTAACGCAAACTCTTCTCGCCGCCCTATAAACCTTTACCTTACCGAAACTAACAGATCCTCTCCTAGTAATGTCGACTTGCAAACCTCACGCGGTGAAATACGGCACAGCCACCGAGATGCATCGTGGATGCAACTCGTCCCTCGAGTCTCACACTTGCAAAAACTAATGCTTGTACCTTCGTGCCTCTCGTGAATACGATGCTGCTTCTTCCTTTCTAACATAGAAAGTAGTTCCCTGTGCTAGACGTTTCCTCGCGTGTTTCTGCCCTTTGGAGTCTCTTCCTCCTCAATTATTCATTGTTATCTCGAGAATCGTGTTCAACGGCACAACGGAGACGATTCCTTTGTCTTTCTTATCGCGACAGCTTGAACTCTTTTTCATTTTGTAAAATCATTTTTATCATTGTTAATAAAATTAACCCATAGTAATTTATGAAGTAATTTATAAGATGATAGAAATCTACAACTGAATATAAGTATGCGGAAAATCAAGGTAAGATCTTTATTGTTACAAATTGTTTTCATCTTTTATGTAAAATTAAATTCATCGTTATAATATATCAAGATTTTGTAAAATCAATATTAAATCTTTGTCTATATCGCTAATATGGAAATAAAGGAAATTCAGATTTTTCTGCTATGTAACTGCTAGATAAAATTTCAACAAATAATTGATAATATAGAAAATGAAACCATTTGGAGAATAATGTGTTATACAAACACAATTTTCAAACAGCACTGAAAAGCCCATTTCGAGGGAATTAAGACATATCTCCGCGTGAACCGGCAGTAACGCCGTTTAGCAAATTTACACGATGCAATTATCTGCTTGTCTGCGCAACCGTCGTCACGGTTAATGTTAATGCCATTAGGTGTATAACGGCAGCTGGAAAAGCGGACAGAATTATTTGTTTACTTCGTTTCTTCGCGAGGGAGCCGAGGCAATGGGAAAGGTTGCAGCCTCGGGGGTTCATAATCCGGCGCTTCATCGGCGTAAATTAATTAATCAAACGACGTAATACGCAGGCTTCTTTTGCCACGTTATTACGGGCCGAGAAGGTGAAAAGGATCGCCTCCGGGCAAAATGAAGATTTCGGATACGAGAGCAGCATCCTGCGGATTCAGCGTTCCAGAAAATTAAACCGCGGCACGAAATGAAACTTTTACACACTGTTTATCACTCGTAATTTATAATATATCTACATATATTATGTATACACATATCATTTTGACTTTTAACTTATAAATGTTAACTAATTTTACCATAAATAATAATATCGTTTTCGACAACAATATTTATATAAAAACAAAAAATATTTTATAAAAAATAATTTCTAAAAAGGTAACGCATTAAAAATAACATTTATATCTGGCTAAAATTCAAAAGGCTTTGACGACAGAATAAATGTGCTAATTGATTATATACGGTAGCAGTAATTCGAAAGTAAAAGAGTAACGATGTAAAACTTGTGAACCAACCTTCAGCCCGACGCAAATAGTATTGCTCGTGCAATTAAGGCGGACGCGGGACACGCAGTAATTCTTCGTTTAGCAAATCCGCGGTATTAATTTCGTAAATGAATTTCACGTAGCCACCGCGCAACGGGGAACACGCATTCGCTTAACGACGGGGGTAGCTCACGAATATTGTAATTTATGAACGGAAGAAGTACCTCCTCCATCGTGACGTTTAGTTTCCATACGCGATTACGTGTTTTCTTCTGGCACGCAAATTTTCAACGAATGGGGGCCCAGGTGTCCAATTATTTTTTAATCCTTGTTATTGTTACGAGAATTATAAGAATATTATAATATTTATTGTATATATATCTTTCTCTTACTATAATTTATTAGTTTTAAGAATTATTCTTTTGCTATAGATATGGTTAAATTAATTGAATTTTATTGTACATATATTTCTTATCAATCGTCGTCAATCCTCCCCCGATTCCTATATTTCACAATTGCCGTTTAGGCATTTAATTAATCTCTACTTGTTTTACTAATTGGTTAATTATATTCTTTTTTTTAATATACTCCGGAAATGTGCCAAACGTTTGCACATTCGAGGAGAGAAGTGTGACGAGAGGGTGGTTGCGAGCTTCCTTGGACCGGCACATTTGTGTTGCAGTCGGGGAAACGGGCGAGGGGGACGAATGACGGGCCCCGTAATTTGCGGGTTGTAATACCGCGCCCGTCGTTTGTAACCTGTTCGAGACACGTAAGTACAGCCAAGAGAACAGCGCCGGGGAGAGAAGTAACTACGTAACCGCATCGTCTCATTGAGGGGGATGTTTTCCAGGTTCTGAAACGGATGTAACTACTACCGCCCGTCTATGTGGCACCCTCAGAAAACGCATAGGGGTACTCGATCACCGCTTGCTTCATTCTATTTGCGGGACTGCGGCCTTCGGGGTTTCGCTTAAATAATATATTACAAGCGGCTGCTTAACGTTACGCCATCCGGCCCCGGCGAACTGCTCATAGTTATGATCCGTCTGCAATTAATTGCTTCTTAGGTAGCTGCCGTCTTAAAAATGATCGAAGAAGCGTGAATAGAAAAGATATCCTATGCTTTTATAGAACTAAGCTATCTGGACAAATTAAGTCAATTGAATTATTAACTGATTATTAACTGATAATAATTATAATTAATGTAATCTCTCATTTTTGTAAGATAGCAATTGATCATGAAGATGTCATGTATGACATTATAGGGAAATTATTCATTAAAGCCAGATATTTAATACAGAAACACACATTCTATATAATTCAAGTTTAAAATAAAATTTAATTGATATAATAAATCGTAGCAAGCGTGAATGAGAGTCAGTGGTTTAAAATTTGGCATTTATTCCATGAATTTTGGAAGTTACAGCGAGATATATTCTCATTACCTGTCCGGTTTAGAGAAAATGAAGGTCAGGTAAAGAGAACGGCGAGGTTTGGGACGGATCTCAAAAGATTCAAATGAAATTCCGCGCTTCCGGTTTATGTGCATGCTCGATTTAGCAGGTACCTCGACGAAGGAGGCGAAAAGGATGCAGCTTGGTTCGAACGGGATGCATCCATTTTGCATGGGTCATAAGGCCTTCTTGCACGCGCAATGCAGATGAGAAAGAGAGAGCGAGAGAGAGGGACCCCAGGACTCCTTCGCCGAGGTTACTGCACTTTGGGGACGAGTTATCCTCCCCATCAGCTACCAGAAATTCTCGCTCGAGCGTTCTCCGAGCGAATTCCCAAGAGAGAAGAGCGAGCTCCTTTCGCAAGGAGCGCTTTTGCAGCTGCGAGATAACGCTTCACGACGATTTCTGTATGCGACGTGTGCTCATAAATGTATATTCGTAAATAAATTATTAAAAATATTGAACATACTCAATAATTATTAATTTCAGTATATCTTTCGTAAAATTTCTTGCTAACTAAGAGAAAATATAATAAGCTTATACGTTTTTTATAATC